CCCTCAACCCCCGCCTCAGGGCTGCGGGTCCGCGCCCCTCTGCCCGGGGGTCCTTCCATGTCGGCAGTCATTGCCTCGTTTCCTGCCGGGCCATGCCGCATCTTGGGGCCACTGCAGAACCTCGCTCTCCACCGGCGAGGCAGACCCCCGCCCACCAGCCCCCTCTGGTGCACCCTGCCTCGGCGCCACTCTGCGCCCCTTGGGCCGCCCGCTTCCTGGCCGGCTGCTTCGCCGAAGCTTCCTCTTCCTTCAGGCGCTCTCCTCAGACCCCCTGGCGGCCCCACCCCTCCGTGGCTCCCTGTAGCTCCCGTCCCACTCGCCTCTCCCAGGGCACCCACCTGTCAGGATACTGGCAGGGCGCCCTGCTGAGGGCAGCGCGGTCCTGAGGCAGGGGGTGGGGGTGTGGGGAGCAGCTCCAGGAAAGTTTAGCAAACCCCAGGTCGGTGTTGGGATTTGGCTGTGGGCCATGGGCGAGTCTGCCTGGGTGGGACGAAATCACGCTTAGACCTGGAGTGCTGCCCTGTAGCCACGCCGACCCTGTGAACGGTCGTTATGTGACACTGTCCTAGACAAATTTGCATATTCCTTCATTTGATATATATATAGAGGCCCAGTGCACAAAAATTTGTGTACTCGGGGGGGAGGGGGTCCCTCAGCCCGGCCTGTGCCCTCTCACAGTCTGGGACCCCTTGGGGGATGACCACCTGCTGACTTAGGCCCACTCCCCGGGGGATTGGGCCTAAGCTGGCAGTCAGACATCCCTCTGGCAGCCCGGGAGCCCCCGGGGGATGTCCACTTGCCAGGGGGAGCAGGCCTAAGCGGCAGTCAGACATCCTTATCTGCTGAGGAGGCGGGAGAGGCTCCCACCACCACCGCTGTACTGGCAGCCGTCAGTCTGGCTTGTGGCTGAGCAGACCTCCCCCTGTGGGAGTGCACTGACCACCAGAGGGCCAGCTCCTGCATTGAGCGTCTGGTCAATGGTGGTCTGTGTGTGTCATAATGACCAGTCATTCCCAGTCGTTCTGCTGTTAGGGTCAATTTGCATATTACCCTTTTATTATATAGGACAGAAGCCTGGTGCACAGGTGGGGGCCGGCTGGTTTGCCCTGAAGGGTGTCCCGGATCAGGGTGGGGGTCCCGCTGGGGTGCCTGGCCAGCCTGGGTGAGAGGCTGATGGCTGTTTGCAGCTGGTCACATCCCCTTCAGGGTGGGGGTCCCCACTGGCGTGCCTGGCCAGTCTGGGTGAGGGGCTGAGGGCCGTTTTCAGGCTGGCCAAGCCCCCCCGGCGACAGAAGTTCCCAGCCTCTCCTTTTTTCCTTTTTTTTTCTTTTATTCTGGGATTTATTTACCTTCTATAATTGAAACTTTGTAGCCTTGAGAGGAGCTCAGAGCCAGCCAGGGCGGGTGGGAGGGAAGCTTGGCTTCCTCCATCGCCAGGGGCAACCCAAGCCTCCCGCTCGCTCCAGCTACGTGGCCACGGCCTGCTGAAAGCAGGTATCTGGGGTTTATTTACCTTCTATAATTGAAACTTTGTTGCCTTGAGTGGAGCTCAGAGCGGGCCGTGGCAGGCAGGAAGCTTGGCTTCCTCCATCACTGGGGCAACCAAGCCTCCTGCTTGCTCCAGCTCTGTGGCTGCCGGCTGTTATCTTGGTTGGGTTAATTTGCATATAGTCGCTCTGATTGGCTGGCGGGCGTGGCTTAAGGCATAGCAAAGGTATGGTCAATTTGCATGTTTGTCTTTTATTAGTGTAGATAGACTAGAGGCCCAGTGCATGAAATTCGTGCATGGGGGGCAGGTCCCTCAGCCTGGCCTGGGCCCTCCCACCTCTGCCGCTGTGCTCACCAGCCATGAGCCTGGCTTCTGGCTGAGCAGTGCTCCCCCTGTGGGAGTGCACTGACCACCAGGGGGCAGCTCCTGCATTGAGTATCTGCCCCCTGGAGGTCAGTGTGTGTCATAGTGACCAGTCGTTCTGCTGACAGGCCGAAACTGGCTCTCTGACATCCCCTGAG